CCGCCTTTCCACTAAATGGGTAATAAAGTGTTAGATTTAGACCTAGACGCGGGGATGGACATGGCAAGGCAGTCTTGCCTCCATTGCTAATTTGCATATAGTTTGAAATTCCCATCTTTCGGAAAATATGTCTGAGAATACCATTTTACAATTAAAATTATTCGGATCATGATCTTTTCGAGGCCACGTCGAGAACGAGACAATTCCCTGGGCCTAGGTCTATGCTGTGAAACGTCCTTGGGGACCATTGATAATGGACTTCGTAAGTCTGAACGACGGTCAAGTAGGTAAAAATGAGATGATAATTAATGTAAATTTATGAAACGTGAAGACATTCTATAATTAGTATTGCTACGTAGACTGGGGTTCGAAGATTTTACGCAATCAGTCACAAAGAGCACGGCAGTTCTTCAAGAGCGATGGTCATAAAACTATCCTTAAAATACAGGATACAGCACAAATATTCGCTGAATAAATCTTAGAAGGCCTTCACACCTACGGCTTTCAGACACAACTATCAGTGTCTAAAATACAAGTATGTTAAAGATTATTCACACACAGCCGATCGTCCTACTCAACAGCCAAACTAATCACTAATCGATGGTTGACTCTTCAACAGTCAAGACAATACTAACTCAGTTTCCACGAAAGACTCCCTATTCACAGGCCTCACGGATCTTTCGAGAAAGATCCACTTACGTCATAGATCGTGATAATAGTAGGTTTCTCCAGTAATTTCCAGAAGCATCCATATGGTCGCCCATTCGCCAAAAATAATCACCAACATGGTCGCCAAAATGATACCAACTTGGCTCTATCGCTAACATTTCGCCAAGTTTTCATTGAATCGCCATTATAATGTAAGGAACGGCGTTGCTTGCGAATATCACAATTTTAACATCAAATAAATACAACAAATCGTAATACTGACGTATTACACATTCAGATGTAAATTATTTGTACTATTTTAAGTATTCATTACACAAAATTCGTAGCAGAGTATTTATGATTATTTTTTCAAAGGCTAATCTCAAAAATTTAATTTCAACGGCATTACTTTTTCGATTTTATGCTGTATTATCTCTCATAGCTGAAAAAATGTCGAATATTTTTCAATATATTAACTGTTATTAAAGCTTCGAAAGTTGCAACTTATTTAGGTTTATTACAAATATTCTTTTTATTTCAGTTTATTCTAGTTTTTACTGCCTTGACTGTTGTATCTGCCCAGCAACGGGTACACATTCGGCGCTCTAGACTTCCCTCGAAGAGGGCTGAAGAAAATCAGTACCTTGTCTCTCTCAGTGGGGCTGATATTGGACTGTTAAAGAGGAGCAAGGTCAGCCGGGATGGAATAGAAAAATATCAAGAAATTAAGGGTTCAGCAGTGTCTCTTGGAAAAGGGAAGCTAAGAGGATACAACAAACCTTCTCGAGAATAAAGAAAGTAAGCATTCAAAACAAGGTGTGACTACAAAAAACGAGACTAAGTGTGAAACTTGAAAAAAGAGTGGAGTTGGCAACGTCACCCCTCACCTCTCCACTATCTATGTGACCAGTTTCACCTTAACTGATCGCACCAGCTGAGAGTACTGCGTCATTAAGTGAATTACCCCTCACATCAGTGGTTAGACTGTTGATCAACACAACTACATTGAAATACTAAAAAGACTTCGCGAAAAAATTAGAAAAAAGGCCAGAAATAGTGAGTGATGGATGGTTGTTGCACCAAGTCAGTGCATCTGCTCACACGTCCCTATCTGTCTGGTTTCGTGTCACATTTTGTACTTGGAATGTCCAGCAGTTTTGTTGAAAAAAATAATTGAAAACAAGTTCATCACAGCTTTCTGCATAAAAATAATTACCTTTTGTTTCTTAATTCTGCATAGATGTTAGGCTACATAGTTCGATATTTAAAGCAAGGAAGAACAAAATTTAACAGCCACCCATTCGGTATAGCGGTCAGTGACGCTAACTGCTGTGCTGCAGGGCCTGGGTTTAAGTCCCGGAGGAGACACGGATGTTTGTAAATGTATAGTGCCTGTGTGGCATGGAGACACAGCGGTCTAGCCGCAAGTCCTCTCGTGAGACTGGTAGGAGGCCCCTAACCACCTCCAGGGTGTTCCCGCACAAAATTGGAACAGAGCCAAATCGTACTATCACTTGTATGGTGCTCAAAGCTACGGCTAGCGACAGGCGTAATCTAGTCTTTTGCCGCGATGAATTTCGTGGGTTTTGATCTGACACCATTAGACAGGTGGAATTAACAACATTAATGCAAAAAATTTAAGGATTAGGCAAAATAAAGAAAAATTTTAATGGGTTGATTCAATTTAACATAAAAAGGCAAAAACAAAATAACTATATACTTTAAACATTCTTCAGTTCCTATTTTTTTCAATTTTTTTAAAACTAAATGCGAATAAATGTATTTTCTTTGAATTGAATTCAAATTTTTGCAGAAACTTTCGTGTATTAAGAAATCGAGTTCTCACATGATTTATTTATTTATTATTTTTTTTAATGATTTTCAACTTCAGTGTTTTAAAATATGCGACTAGCTAAAATCAAATTGAAATCTGGGGAGAAGAAAAGCACATCTGACCAGAGGGCCGAAATTTGCTCATTATTGAGTTTAAAAATAGTTTAATGAGACGAGCATCTTAAACATTTTACTTTAGGGGAAATTGTTTTAATTTTATTTGCCAAATTGTATACCAAAAAAATAAAAAATAAAAAATTGCTTTATCCATATTTGTGTAAGTCTGTCCATGGAAGAATATTTATAATGGTTTATATATAACTAATCTGTAGTGACAAACATACGAACTCACTTCTACGAAAACTAAAGCGGAATTCAGACTTGTTTTTAAATTACTCAGGGTCATTCAAGGAATTAAAAATGTTGAAAGGTAGAATGCAAAGGAAAAAGTTTCAGTACCCATTTCAACATACAATAGAAACACAGTGCGCATTTTGATCTTCATTACAAAAAAATTCTCTTCTAAAATTTTTACAGACGCGTGTTTTGATAAAAAATATAGTGAATTAAATATATCTAAAAAGAGTTTAAGCGAACATTCACATAGCTACGAAAATCAAGTTGTATTAAAAACATTGTGTGATCATGAAAGCAAAAATTAGTAGATTAATAACAAAGAGCTTTGTTGGGTAACTATTGATTTATCATTTGTATAGTCGGTATATAAATCAAAGTTTTCCATAAAGAAACAATTTTTCGGAATGCATTCTAGATTTCCTCTTTCACTGAAGTTTAGCACTGATTTTATACAAGAAGCTTAATTGAATCTTTATTACCGTATTTACTAGAATCTAAACCGCACCTTTTTAACACGCTTTTATGTTTCACTTGTATGTAACGGAATAATCGAAATAATCTTGAATTCGAAATTTCGCACACTTGTCGAAGACCGATGACAATACAATAATTTCATAATTTTGTTCCATTGTCCTGAACAGGATAATCAGGAGACAGGATAATCCAAATTTGGCGACTAGATCATTATACCGTTTCCAGATTTGGCAGACTAATTCCAGATCCCATTTCCAGGTTTGGCGACTAAAAGATTAAAAGTAATCTTAAAAACGAAAATGGTTTTTTTTTGCGTCAGCAATTTCTTATCATAATATAAACAATTGTCCAGTCTTTCTGAAAACAGAAATAAAAAAAAAAGACTCGTGCATGTGAAAAAAAAAAATGGTTCTAATTCAGGGATGGGCAAACGTTTTCGGTCGCCTAGAGGTGTGGGATTGAATGAAGAACCAGGCGTTGCCATGATGATAAAATGTCTTTATTAAAATCTTAACTTAAACACTAATAATGATAATTTTTGATATAACTTAGCGGATCTGAGGTGAGAAAACACAGAATACGTATGACCAAATAAGCCCGATCTTAACCACACACACACACACACACACACACACACACACACACACACACACACACACACACACACACACACACACACACACACACACACACACACACACACACACACACACACACACACACACACACACACACACACACACACACACACACACACACACACACACACACACACACACACACACACACACACACACACACACACACACACACACACACACACACACACACACACACACACACACACACACACACACACGCACACACACACACATAATTTTTGTATTTGGATGTGTAATGCCTTTATTTTACTCTAAATTAGATTTAATTTACATCGAAATTGTAATATTCACAAGCAACGCCGTCCTTTACGTTATAATGGTGATTAAATGGGAAATTGGCGAAATTTTGGCGACCATTGGCGAGTTCGGGACCCTCTGGATTTTTCTAGAAATTAGTAGAGAAACCCACCAATTTTAAGATCTATGACGCAAGCTGGACTTTTTCGAATAATCCGCGAGGGATATAAATAGAGAGATGCTGACCGAAAGTTAGTCTGGTTTTGACAAGCGATCAGTTAGTATTGCTTTGATTGTTGAAGCGAATAGTGATTACTTCGGCTGTTGAAAGAGCTGTTGCTTCTGAAGAATCTTTTATATACGCGTATTTTAGACACCGATAATTATGTCTGAGTACTGTTAAAGGTATAAAGACCTTCTGGGATTTATTCTGTGAATATTGATGCTGATTCCTGTATTTCAAGGATAGGCTTTTCGACAATAAATTCTCATCGCTCTTAAAGAACTGTCTCGATTTTTGCCACTGATTTGCATAAAATCCTCGAACCCCGGATCTACGTAACAATATATATATAAATCTTGTTCAAATTTTCAATCGTTAATAAAATACTTTTTATTCATCCACTCAAGTTGAAATACATTTTTTTAAACTTGTAGAGTGGATGACACTTGATGTTAATACAGTTTTTTCAAACATTTATGCATTAATTGTATTTACTTATTGAATAAATAGTAACAAACAAAAATAATAGTCCAATACCATATATAAAAAGGAAAAGCGCTCGTTGTGTCCCTGAAGTGCAATGGATAACGCGTTGGACTTCTAATCCAAAGGTCGTGGGCTCAATTACCACCTGGGATGACATAATTTCTAAGAATGGGATTTCTTTTTATTATACTATTTTATTGGAATAATTAAATTTAATTGATAAATAAATAGTAACAAACAAAAATAATAGTTCAACTCCCTATACAGAAAGGAAAATCGATAATCACTTTCTATTTTGCCACGGAATATTGAGATTCTGTCATATGTATATACATATTTATATTAATTGTAACTATTTAATAAAAAGTAACTAAAATCAATTGTTTCTTTGTTGACCTAGGTAGGAATTGATTTTAAATTCATTTTTATATGACTTGTTTACATTTTAAAGATGCCTAGTTTATCTTATGTGACTTCATCAGGGTTCATCATTTCTTACTCATATATTTTGTTTCTCATAAAATAAGCCTTATACTTTTAAAAATTCTATATATATATATATATATATATATATATATATATATATATATATATATATATATATATATTAAATTTATGAAATTGTAACTAGGTGAATATTTCTGTTATTTTAAATTTATTTACAATACATACAACTAGAAGAAAGGACACATTTTTTCAAATCATCATGAATAATTCAAACTATTAACTTCATTCATTAAAATAAACTCAATAAATAATTAAAAATTTTAGAATTAAATAAATATTTAAGAATAATCTTTATTTGAATAAGTGAAATAGTAATTAAATAATAGTAATTTAAATGAATAATGGTACTTATATGTTTTTAAAATACTAAATTGAATTTACTTCTTAAGCATGAATATAGAATTTGAAACTAAAGAAATATGATTTTATAATGATGGAAAATACAGTATTTATTTTATCGTGGAACATACACACTGACAGAATTAAGAAGTTAAAAAAGTTTCAGACTTACCTATAATGATTGATCAAAAGAATATTTTTCTTGTAAAAATAACATTAATACAATTCTTTTTGTATTAACTATCCAATTTATTATTTTATTTTTAATTTCTTTTAAAAAAGATAGTTTATTTCATTTTTTCGAAAACCTTGATAAAATACCAGTATTTTCTATCAGTTAAGAATTTCGATAGTTTTGTCTATTAAGAATTAAAATTGCAAAAAGCAACTAAATTTTGAGGGAACAAGAAAAAAGAATTAATATAAATTAACACATATTTTCATTCCCAATGTCAACCATAGAAAAATTTTAAAGTTTTTGATAGGAAATTCACTTAAAAATTTATGCATAACTAGAGGACCCGACAGACGTTGTCCTGTACACACATCTTAAATTCAAAAATTCCAAATTTTTATGAATAAGCTTTAACAATCTGTACCGTTTTGAGTAAAATTTGTATTAAAAAGTTATTACAATGTCTAACGTCATTACATGTACGGTTATCACAATTCAATCAATCGATAGCGTGTGAGTATGTGTATACTATGAGCGAAGTTAAATAAAAAGGCTGTGTGAATAAAAACTTAAACTTGTTTTAAAGGTGAAAAAGTAAAGACTCAAACTATTTTATAACAGGTATATTTATTAAATTGTACATAAACTTAATTTATTCTAATGACATTGCCTATTCTTATTGAAAAGATATTAATTAAAAACGCTAAAAAGCGTGAATCGCGCGCGCGCGCGTCTGCATTTTCGTAACAATAAAGACCGGGTTTGGCCAGTCTGGCTGAAAATCAATTTTCGACGCCAACTTACGTCTTTTTCAATTCCTACTATTAGCTGATCTCTAAACATATTTTATTTGTTTGTTTATTTATTTATCTTGATGGAATTTTCAATCGTTAATAAAATACATTTTAAAGCGCTCAATTGAGCTGAAATGTAATGTACATGATTATTTTGGATGACAATACAATAATTTAATTATAATTAATAAAAATTAATTGATTAAAACTAATTATTTAAAAAGTTACAAATACAGCCACGTTGGCGACTTAGCTACCCTTTTGGCGACTTATATCAAAATTTGAAAAGGTTTTTTTTCTCACGTGTTAAAGCATTCAGTTGAAAGGAAATTTTATATACACGATTGTTTTGGATGACAATACGATACTTTAATGATAATTAATAAAAATTAATTACCACTTAATGGTGCGATTCTGTCATATGTATATACATATTTATATTAATTGCAACTATTTAATAAAAAGTAGCTAAAATAAATTTTTTCTTGGTTGATCTAAGTAGGAATTGATTTTAAATTTTTTTAATATTACTTGTGTGTGTGTGTGTTTATAACAATAGCGTTGTTACAACAATGCAGGTGAATGTTGAGTTGTATTTTTTGAATGTTTTTAATTAATATCTTTTTAACTAATTGCGATATCGGTCCGAATTGTGAATCTAAACCATTCTCGAATTTACTTGAACCCACACAAAACATTTCATCGAAATCGGTTATGCCGTTTAGGAGGAGTTTAGTGACAAACACACGCACAGAAGATTTTTATATACTATAAAGATGTATAATTTTAAAGTTTATTCAAACATACAAAATTACGGGTTTCGTGCGTCAGAAAATAAGGGTTTAAAATTGGATAAATTTGTAAACTAAATATTGCAAAAATATATTTGTAATTATTAATGTACATTTTTATACACATCTTCTTCCAATTATCTTTTTTATTATAATTATATACATCATAAAAATTAAATCAATGTATTTTCATACTTTTTTGTATACTTATTTACAAATTTTTTCTGTACAAACTATTAAATGCTATTTTGTTAAAATTTCGTAAGTTATGTGAATGGTTAAATTTAATATTCCATGTTTCAAATTAAAAATAACAGAATAATTAAGTTTAAAAGTATAATTTATCAAAGGCTTGAAAATGCAGCATTTATTATTGATATCATCTGATATAGTATGATAAGGACTATTCAATTTCGTCAACATTTAGAATGCCTGATTAGGTATGCAAATACCTGATGCAATTGTTTGAATGATGCTGCCATTGCAAAAACAAAACAATTGAAATTTATTGCTGTTATAGGATCGTCTGGTATTTTAAATTGTTTATACAGCAAATTTTTTTTCTATATGGGATTAGTATAAATAGCTTGGAGTTCTACAGAGTTTTATCCATAGTCACCACCTCCATTGCAATTTACTAAAACTTTCTACTTTCCATCAGTCGCCATGAAATTCATCGTAAGTATTTATCTAAGATTCTATCATTTAATATGGATAAATGTTTCTCATATGGATCGATATTACATAAAGTATTTACCTGCATTCTTTGCTTAATTGATAAAGTTATATTTTCTATTATCTAAAATGAAAAGATAATTAAAGTATTAATCCTTTTAAATATTTGCCTGTGACAGCAATTTTTATCATGCATAAATAACTCTGGTAGTATTCGATATTACATTGTGTATATTTAACTGATCTTTAATTGTTCTTTGTGTTAGTGAATTATCGTTTGCTTAAAAAGAAAAATAAATCAATTAACATATTTTATATTTTTCGTTAAATAATTTAGCTTCTACGTATTATAAAACATTTGAAATAAAAAAAATCTATCTTTTATGTAATCTAAAAAAGTACATTGATGGATGAAATATGTTTCCCCCCCAGTTTTCTCGTGTGTCAAAAGTTTTGCTTTCTTCGATAAAACTTTTGAAAAAGTGATGAGCAAATAAATTTTTATTCTCTCTGAAATTACTTTTAACAATTTATAACTATTTTTGTGTTTAAATGAATTTTTATTAATTATTTCTATCCTGCAAATGAATGTCTTTTTTTTTTTTTATTCAAATTAGTATCGACCCGTAAATGTTTTCGATTGTAGTTTAAATACAAAAGTGAAATTGACTTGCTTCCCCCAGGTATCATATAAAGGTAAATAATTATACTGTACAATTAATGTAAAGCAAAATTTAATTCAGTAAATAGTTTAAAATTATTAAATACTAATCGCTGTATTAATTTTCAGTTGATGGACATAGTGTAAACGGGCTAAATTCATGACCTTACATCAATTATAAATGCAATAACGGATTCTTCATTGGATTCGAATCTGAGATTAGACTTCTACTTGTTATTATACACATAAAATTTAGATCAAATTTCGGATTTAAATATTTGGTAAAGATGTTCAAATATTAAGATTCTTCAAAAAGTTTTTCAAAATTAAAAAATAAATAAATAAAAATTTGGTACTTATACGTACTATTGCAACAATGCCAACGTTTAAGATAACTCGCCAAGTTGGCAACCCCAATTTCACATATATCGCTCACTCTGAATTGGCAACCATGTGATTTATTTCATAAATGCGATAGTACGTAAATATACCAAAAATTCTGATCGTGTTGTTAGACGAGTATTTATAAAGCAAGAGCATTTTGTTTACCTGTGTGTGTTATTGACAAATGTGTACTTTTTGAAGGAAAGTTTCTATGAAAAGCGTGATTGCAGTCATCATATGACTGCTCGTAGGACGTCACATAAATTTAGCCTATGAGCAATTTGATCGCGTGATCACGAAACAATAATGATTGAAATAATTCTTTTTTATTAACTTATGATATTCTAATAATACATTATTGCAAGCTCCTCTTGGATGTATATCTAAAAGTTAAGAAAACTTATATAATATGAAATTGTGATAAACATTTCAAACTTATACACATTTTGTTAAAAAGATATAGTAACATAAACATATATCAACGAATAGTTAATCACATAGAATAAATATTTGCAAATAGTAATAACAAACTTTGCTGAATGGCTGTTTAACGTTGTGCACAAATATTAAACATAATTTTTTGGCGCTCACGCTCGTTTCTGATCGCTAAGTGGATCGGCTGACCGCCAATCTCTTGTCAGAAAGACTTTGAATACCCTATGACAGGGATGGTGAACCACTGACCCGCGTGTCATTGATGGCACGTGACGCAATATTTTGGGCATGCCACCGATCAAAACGGTTTGCAATTTAATTCAAAATAACAAAGTTCAGTATGAAGTATTTTGAACAAACGAGAGTAATCAGTCGCAGTTTTCAGCGAGATT